AGCTAAATTAATGCTAATAAGCCAGCGTGTTCCCAACTACGGTTCAGAGCTAGTAAGCTGTCACGGAGAGATAACAGGTTACTCCCAGGTTAACGTCATTAGCTCTGTTAGCACTGTTGCCTTTGATTACACTGTTTGTACTGTTAACACTGTTGGCTGCTAGCCGCCGGCTTAGCCACCTCCATGTTGAGAGCCGTGCGCAGACAACCTATGAATCAAATGCTGCATTCCATTTACCTCAGAAGTTGGAGGACAGAGCTGGGAAAGGCATCACACCCGAGTTGACGGTGTCCCAGTGCGCACACTTGCAAATCCTGGGATGGTGAAAGTATGACCCACCTTACTCTTCGTCTGATTGGCTAGAACTCATTGCCTTCGTTGTTTGGATTGGTTCGGTTTAGGCAAGAGGGGTAGGATTGGGTAAGGTTAGCATAAGAATGTCAGGGAAGGGGTGCCCGCTAGCTCACCTGGTAGAGCGTGCGCCATATGTACAAAGGCACAATGTACAAAGTGCTAGTGCTGCGCAATGTATTGTGGGAATTACTATACCCTATATAGTGGACTCAAAGTATCCCACAATGCACTGTGAAAAGGAGTGTACAACTAATGGTCACTAACCAAGCAATATATCCCATCATGCAATGCTTCAAAGGAACAGACAGACTATATGGGACGGACACCGAGACGGACGAGAGGAGAGAGAGCAGCTCGATAACAACCTGCTGTACATGTTTAACTTATGATGACACGTTTAAGTTTGTTTTACCAATTTTTCTTTGTTGTGTAATAAACTGTCAATTCAATGTGTCGTCATCAGTCTCTGATGTGACAAAAATAAATTGACAATTGATCCTCTGTAGTGTTTTATAGTTACAGTACAGAGTAGGGCTAATAATGCTAGCGAAAGTTAGCAAGCTGGCTCGCTACTAGCTCTGATTTGTGCTGTGATGCTTCATGCATAATGTTATACATTAAACTCACAAGTTATTACATGACTGACAAACTTCAACACAACAAAGGTTAAACAGAAAATTATTTACATTTGTAGGACAGGTTGATATCTGCTGCTCTCTATCGTCTGTCTGCCAGTGTGACATTATTAATATGTTTAATGTGAGATTTTGGAAAATGATGACGTTGCAACCCAGTTCGCGCATGCCCATTAGGCACCCGGGAACCACAACAACAATGGCGGATATACAGTACAGGCCAAAAGTTTGGACACATCTTCTCATTCAATGTGTTTTCTTTATTTTCATGACTATTTACATTGTAGATTCTCACTGAAGGCATCAAAACTATGAATGAACATATGTGGAGTTATGTACTTAACAAAAAAAGGTGAAATAACTGAAAACATGTTTTATATTCTAGTTTCTTCAAAATAGCCACCCTTTGCTCTGATTACTGCTTTGCACACTCTTGGCATTCTCTCCATGAGCTTCAAGAGGTAGTCACCTGAAATGGTTTCCACTTCACAGGTGTGCCTTATCAGGGTTAATTAGTGGAATTTCTTGCTTTATCAATGGGGTTGGGACCATCAGTTGTGTTGTGCAGAAGTCAGGTTAATACACAGCCGACAGCCCTATTGGACAACTGTTAAAATTCATATTATGGCAAGAACCAATCAGCTAACTAAAGAAAAACGAGTGGCCATCATTACTTTAAGAAATGAAGGTCAGTCAGTCCGGAAAATTGCAAAAACTTTAAATGTGTCCCCAAGTGGAGTCGCAAAAACCATCAAGCGCTACAACGAAACTGGCACACATGAGGACCGACCCAGGAAAGGAAGACCAAGAGTCACCTCTGCTTCTGAGGATAAGTTCATCCGAGTCACCAGCCTCAGAAATCGCAAGTTAACAGCAGCTCAGATCAGAGACCAGATGAATGCCACACAGAGTTCTAGCAGCAGACCCATCTCTAGAACAACTGTTAAGAGGAGACTGCGCCAATCAGGCCTTCATGGTCAAATAGCTGCTAGGAAACCACTGCTAAGGAGAGGCAACAAGCAGAAGAGATTTGTTTGGGCCAAGAAACACAAGGAATGGACATTAGACCAGTGGAAATCTGTGCTTTGGTCTGATGAGTCCAAATTTGAGATCTTTGGTTCCAACCGCCGTGTCTTTGTGAGACGCAGAAAAGGTGAACGGATGGATTCCACATGCCTGGTTCCCACTGTGAAGCATGGAGGAGGAGGTGTGATGGTGTGGGGGTGTTTTGCTGGTGACACTGTTGGGGATTTATTCAAAATTGAAGGCACACTGAACCAGCATGGCTACCACAGCATCCTGCAGCGACATGCCATCCCATCCGGTTTGCGTTTAGTTGGACGATCATTTATTTTTCAACAGGACAATGACCCCAAACACACCTCCAGGCTGTGTAAGGGCTATTTGACCAAGAAGGAGAGTGATGGAGTGCTGCGGCAGATGACCTGGCCTCCACAGTCACCGGACCTGAACCCAATCGAGATGGTTTGGGGTGAGCTGGACCGCAGAGTGAAGGCAAAGGGGCCAACAAGTGCTAAACACCTCTGGGAACTCCTTCAAGACTGTTGGAAAACCATTTCAGGTGACTACCTCTTGAAGCTCATGGAGAGAATGCCAAGAGTGTGCAAAGCAGTAATCAGAGCAAAGGGTGGCTATTTTGAAGAAACTAGAATATAAAACATGTTTTCAGTTATTTCACCTTTTTTTGTTAAGTACATAACTCCACATGTGTTCATTCATAGTTTTGATGCCTTCAGTGAGAATCTACAATGTAAATAGTCATGAAAATAAAGAAAATGCATTGAATGAGAAGGTGTGTCCAAACTTTTGGCCTGTACTGTATGCCGGGTTGTTTACGTTTTGTTAGCACTTTTGGGACTACTTACAAGCTTACAAATGAACTTAGCACTGCTGCATCAACATCACCGCTACATCAGCGTACAAAGACGTCTGCTGTGCCCAATATTAGTAAGTGCATAGAAGCTAACTATACTACATAAGGTTAAAATGTTTGCTGTGTCTCAAATCATGTACTTCTGTACTTACACTTAATATTTTGAGTGCATAAGTGCGTTCACACTGAGAAGTATGGAACAATGCAGTGCACTATGAGTACACGGATGGTGCACTCAAAACGGTCAAGAAGTTGAGTGTGGAACTATGGACACTTCTCGCTCTCAATGGTCACCATCTTGGCTATGTAGCAGAAGGGGAGGAACCACTTTTCAAACTGGAAATGGCGGCCGAGGACTGTGCGACCGTGAACGTTGCTGCATTGAACAAATACATGTGTTTTTTGCACTAAGCACCACTATACTGTTGTCAAGTATAAGCCAGCAGTATGTTTAATGGGTTAATTTAGCAGTCTATAATGATTTGGTACCACGAACGATAAGGCAAATGCTAATGCTAGTTTACTAACTAGCTAATTTGCGGTTGTCATTTCCGGTGAGTGCATAACGGCCGTGTTTGGTTTGAGACAACACTACCCTGTCGAAATTTGCGCACTACGCCAATAAGTACATAGTGCACATAGTATACTACATGGAAGTGAACTAATGGAAGTATGTGATTTGAGTTTATCATTGTTTTTATCACTTGCACCAAGAGGAAAACAAATCACTGTGCAGAACGTTCTTCTATTGTGTTTGACATATGGCGTATTGCTCTCCGTTTCAATTCAAACGGAGAGCGGAGGCTAGATGGGAAGCTAGTGGAGGCTAACTGGCTGTGCTTCCCTCCTGTCATGCTACGACTAATGCTCCGCTAGCAGCTCCCAGCTAGCTAGCGGTTTGTTATTCAGGTTAAAGTGGGAGAGGCAGCAGATCTGTCGGGCAGCTGAGTGAAGTGGAGCCTGAGGAGGAAGCACCAGTTAGCCCCGGTTTCACTACAGGCAGATTCACTCGCTACAGGGGCAAGGGAATAAAACCTGAACAGCCAATCAGAGTGATCTCTGTCACTGACAAGCCCCGCCACCGATTCAACACGCTCAATCGACCGAAGTGCCGCCGCTGCCGACACCGAAGTTCCGACAGCGACAGACGCTCACCGACAGCCTGACTTTGGTCGACGGCCGACCGTCGGCTTGGTGTGTCAGGGCCTTAAGGGCCGTTTCATAGTCGACGCAAAGGCACGCAGATGCGAACGCATTGGGACGCATCGAGACGCATTGGCCGCCATGATGTGTGCTTGCATCTCAAAATGTGTTATCCATTTTTTTGATACGCAATGCAGCGATGCGTGTAATACCATGCGCTGCCAGCGGGGGTGATAATGCAAGCGACATACTTGAAATTAATCACTTTTTGTTATTCACAGAAGAAGCAGGTATGAAATAAGGCGGGCGAGGAGGAAAAACTTTGCGAACTCGTACGGGCACACCCCCATTTATATAACAGTTCTAGTGCCCTGCACTCTAATAAAATAGCAGTACTAGCTAGCCGGAATGTACTGGTGACTCTGCTACACCCTATTGCGCGAGCGATGTATTGCATTCCAAGTGTCACCCACGTCGCTTGCGTTCAATGTGTTGACTACGAAAGGAAGTGCGTTGCTCGTGTTGCTTGCTTCGCTTGCTCGCGTTGTGTGCGTCGACTATGAAATGGCCCTTACTCCTCTACATAGCACTCCCACATAGTGAGTGGGGAGTAGTGAATGATTTCAGACACAGCCTATATCTGCTTCTTCCTGTAAATAATGTGACATTTTTTATATAGTTTTGATATATGTTTAGATATAGTTGTGCAGTTATTATAGATTGATTGGTCCCCAATAAATCAATAAATCAATATGTTCACTGTTTTCTGTGGAGGCATGAGAGTGACACGAAGTAATGTGGCGCCACAAATGTTCATTTTGTGGGTGAAGTGCTCCTTTAAGTCTCCACTATCTGTTCTGCTGCATGTTATCATCATCAATATTACATATGGCCTTTGTTCCTCGTGGGCGTAGCCTCTGTCGGGGGGGCGTGTGCACGAGGGGTGGGAACGTGTCGACGTCAACGGTCGGTCCTTTCTGTGAACGCCAAAATAAAACGTTTAAAAACTTTTCTATCGGACTCATAACTCTACACACATGGCAGCGGCGGGATAAGGCGGAGAGGGAAGCCGTTTTCTCCGGGCTGTAACGGTTGTTGGGACTCGGTTGTGTTCACGTACCGGAGGAGGCTCCTGTTTCCTCCCAGTCTTTCTTTCCAGGGGTCGCACAGCCGAGACAGAAGAGAGCCAGCGGGCTGGAGCCGTTTAGCCGACCTGCTAGCTAACGTCAAGTTGTAAGAAAGTGGAGAAGACGGCGGCTAAACGGGAGCTTATCCGCCTACACAGACCTATGCGACGGATAGCAGGTAACAGAGCTCCCCTTGCTCCTTCCACCACACCGAATATAAACCGTGATGCGTTAACGTGACTCATTTTAGACACAGTTTAACCGTTAAATCTTGATACTGCAACAGCTCTGTCTTGGCTCGTCTGTGGCAGCAGCAACAACAGCATACGTAGCTTTCTCTTTTTGCTGTTTCCACCAGCAACTTTGCTTCTAAAATCCAAACGGGTTGCTTCATATTGCAACTCGTTTCAGCCGTTATTCCTTCACCATGCACTGCTTCTACCTCAAAGAGAAATGATAATGGGCTCATCAAGGAGAGGTGGACAATTAATGCAACACACTCTTTGAACCAGCTGCTTGTGTGCAGGCTGCACGTCACCACTCACTGTAGGATGCTACCTGCAAACATGTCAGTCAGATTAAATTCATCAGCAGTTATTTATCAGTATTCATGACATGACTCAACCTGCCTGCAGAGATTGGTGAGATCAGGCTGGCCAAGGTTTGCAACACAGCGTTGGTGTGCTGTAGCAATGCGGTAGAGACAGGAGCCCGGTTTGTATTTCCAGAGGAACAGGGGAAAATTGAACCGCTATTATTTATGTTTGGTCGATATGTCACGGGGTCATGGTTTGCTGACAGCAGCAGGATAGTCCGGCGGAACAAGGTCAAACGTGCACGGCAGAGCAGCACCTCCCCTGCCGGGTCTGTCAACCGCAGTGAGGAGGCTCTGTGAGCTGCCTCTTCCCATGGGGCAGTGTGAACCAGCCTGCCAGGTGAAGAATGCCAATGAATTATTCAGGCACATGCTGCATATGATCAACGTGGCCCAGGAATGTGCATTGCTGCTGGGGACAATAAGAGACTCTCACAGTCTTGTGTGGCTCCTCCAACAAGAATTGCCCACCTCAGCTTCTCTGTTACAAATGCCAGCTTGTAGAGAATACAGCATTGGAAAGCACAGTGGAATAAGAGTTGCACGTCTATTACAGCTGCTTTGATTCGTGGGGAACGTGCATTTGAAAGTTGTCAGGCTCCCTTTTTCTATTTTCATTTTGAAGTTTATTCTGCAGATGTTTCTAAAGCTCAAGTGGAAAATTGCTCTGAAGATTGCCTCTGGTGGCTCCGAGCAACGCTGTAATCTTCATGGCACTATTCAAATTGATGGGTTTTGCTTGTGGCACTTTGTCTTGTGGTGCTTTGTTTTCCTTGGCAGCTTGTTCTTGTGCTTTTGTTTCCTTGTGTTTAACAGAACGGTGTGCATGTATGACACTGGACGTTTTAAGAGTAAAAATAGAACTTAATGTAGGCTGCATGCCTGAAGTGTCATGTGCTTCTCAGAGGCTAAATGACTTACGTTGCAGCGAGGACGCCTTCACAAAATATATGGCTGCGTTATAGTCTACGTTTGTGTCCGGCAGTCGATAGTAATCTTTACCTTGCACAATCCTAATCGCCAGCTCTCCTTGAATAAGTAGTTTTAAATGTCTTGCATCATTTCTGTGGTTTAATCTCAATTTCAGTACATTTCCCAGGCCAGAGTCCAGACCAGCGTCAGCACGGTGTGTTGTATTAGCTGAGAGGTCATGATGAGGATGCACTTTAGCAAACAGCGAAGCTTGTGAACATTTGTGACCTTTTGGGCCTCTGTTTTTGTAGGTACGTGGTCAATTTTGCTGTAATTGTAGTTGTAAAAGCTTGAGTAGTGGAAGAGAGACAAAGCTAGGTGATTATTTTTGTCTGCAGCAGTATAAAAATGGAAATAAGGAACAGTGAAAAACTGGTAGCAGTGTCAGGAGTTTTCAATCCAAGTTGAGGGCTGCAGATTGCTCCGACTACTGTACTGTATTTTTTATATCTTGGGAATGACGCAAGAGAGTTGTTGATGTTCCTGTCCGACCCTGAGACATCAGGTTTCTCAGAACAGAATCTCGTTTTTTGCTCTTGAACGTAAGCAGCTCCAGAAAACCAGTAAGTCTACGGTCAGAGTGGTTACGTCAATCGACGGTGAATGGAAAAACAACCTTTGCGGACTCAAAGATTAATTTTCTTCCCTTTTGTCATCTAACCAAGCCTGAAAAAGACCATTTGAACAAGCTGATTTTGCTGCAGTTGCAAACACAGTGCTATTTCAGTCCATCTCCGCTGATTGCCTGTGATTTGAAAAGACAGGCTTCTAGTTTGTTGACCTGAGTGAGAGTAAACAGAGCTCTTCAGTCAGTGTTTACTCTGTGTATGTGCATGTGTTTATAGTCAGTAGCTGGCATGTCTACATCCAGCGTCTGTGTTTGTTCTCATTAGTTTAAATATGTATTGGTCCACCACTTCAACTCTGTCTCTGGCAAATACTTGCAACACTGATAATAATACTTAAAGGAGCACTTCACATGCAAAATGACTATTTGTATATCCAGTGTAACCTGAATTCACAGGCCCAGGCAGAACTCTTCAAGAGTTAGCCTGTGGAGTTTAAGTTGCGGGGTGGATGATTGATTAGTTGATCCTATTAGAGCTGATTAGATCAGATCAATGCATGAGAGGAGCAGCCGCTGCAGAGGCAAAGTTTTAGACCCAGCACAATCAACAGTTAAGGCTGCTCTCAGACCTAGAGTCGTCTCCGTTGGTCTGAATCAGGGACTCAAACAATGTGTCATGTGACAGTTGCTTCAGATCCAGGTTGGAACACCTTCTCACCACAAACCAACCGCACCAGAGTTCGTTTGTAACCGGACCGAGACCACCTCTTCAAGAAGGTCTCGGTCCGGTTGTTTTGGTGCAGACCTGAGTGTGATTGCTGTGTTCACACCTGCCTAAACAAACCGCACTGAGGGGGCAAACAAACTTGAGTTTGATTGAATCGAACCAAACAGGGCAGGTGTGAACACACCCTAAATCTCACTTTGACTGGTGCTCTGCTGCTCTGTCTGTGCCCAGAGTACGCTCTGCGCTGCAAGAGTGTGTTGCACAAAGTAACCAGACATACTTGAATTCATCAAGAGTTTTCTCTTTTTTGGATTCTTTGTTCAAAAACCTTTTCCTCAGGAGTTAAACGTAACACAGGGTGAGGAGTTGATATACAAATGATCATTTTGTGGGTGAAGTATTCCTTTAAATCTGTAAGATAAATGAGTGTCAGCAATAAGTAACCAAACTAAAATAACAAATACTATTAGATGGTTGGTTTAAATAAAGATATGAGTGAAATAAAAAAGCACCATTGAGGTAAAATACAGCCTTAAAACTTGTTGCACAGTCTTGCATTGCCTCTGTCCCATGAGTTGAAGCTATGTCTCCATCCTGACAATCCTCTTTTCTTTCCTCGCTCAGCCTTTGTTTTCTTCTCAGGGATTTTTGGTGTGTCCTAAACAACCCACTGTAATCCCCTTGCAAAATATGCATATAAATGGAGACCTTTCATTCCAAATCCAAATGCTGTGCTACACACTGTATTCACAACACCCAATAACTTTCTTTCTGTTTTCTGTATTTTCCCTCTGTTGCCCTGAACCTCCAGTGCCTTTCATTTTCTCCTTTTCGTCTATGGACTGCCCCGCTTGTCTAAGGCGCTCATGTCACTTGCATTAGACAGCCCATGTCTTCGGCTTTTCTTTTTTCCCCTCCTGTCTCTTCCCCTTTCTTCTTTTCTTTGTGGACTGGATGAACCACACAGGGTGCTGCTGCACCTTCACCACCACCGCCACCTCAGTTTCACTTCTGGTGCTGCCCTGGATGACTGACAGTCATCGATTGAACCTGTCCATGTGTATCACCCCCTCTCTGTATCCCCCCCCCCCCCACTCTTCCCTTCCTGTCTCCTCCTCTGCTGTGTTTAGGTGAGTGATGGAGACGAGAGAGTTGACCGTGGTAGCTGGCAGCTTCGTGGGTTTCCAGCTCCTCTTCTCAGTGGCCAGCCCACGGCTCTCCTCCGCCATCACACCAGGATATGCACGGCTGCCTCCCACCAAGCACACCGAGTGGAACTCCAGGTGTGTCACAGAAACCCACTACACCCCCTCTGTGGGGAGGCCTTTTCTCATATATGTATTTGACCTGTGAACGCTCTGATGGTTTAATCTTGGAACTGTGTGGAAACCAAAGCTTTTTATTTTCAGTTTATTTCACGTTGTTGTTGTTGTTGTTGTTAAAAGCTGCAGCAGTTTGTCAGCTCAGAAACATATCTTTCATCACAGCTCTCTATAAAAGGTTATCATGTTTTCATGTATGATTGGTTGCATCACAATTAAGATGGTGTCCCTCGTCACCTTGTACTGGGTATCATCAGCAAAGCCCCGATTGTTTAATGGTTCTAAAGATCATCTTGCCGGATCTTCCTGATTTGCAATGAGACGAAATCCGGCACCAACATCAACGAGATGACCTGAGCTTGAGATCGACCGGAAATACACCAAAATAATTTTAATAACCAGGGCAGGTAAATCAATCAGTGATTATGTGTGTGACATGCATTCATACAGCGAGCAGCAGCAGTCACCCACTGTCGCCCACACCAACACAACGTTACTACAGAGGCCTACGTACGTGTCAACAGCTGTGGGGAAGTAAATGAGACAGACTCGGTCTTGGCGGGGACAGAAGACTGTTGTCCGTCTGTGGACAGTGAGCAGTGAACAATTTGTAATTACCTTGGCCAGCAGACTTCACTACCAGCTGCTAAAACCAGCAGCTGGTGACTTGACAAGCTGAGTTGCAGGTGAAAAAATCTGCCAGCTTGAGTTGAGCTTAGACGGGTCAATTCACACTGCGGCAACTTGTGAGAGTCGGTACTCTGGTTATTTGTGAATGGAATCTGTTTTGTGCAGTTTTTGGTAAATCTTTGCTCTCCACGATCTCTAGGAACAGAGCTGTCAAATGTATCATACATGTCGTCATGTGTGGTGTCTCGGTTAACATTTGAAAAATCTTTTAATGTGGGCCAAGCTTTAGATGACAACCCAGCCAGCAAGTTTACAGCCATAGTTCCACATTTTGTTCTTTTTTTCGCTGAGTTAGATGAGAGGACAGGAAACAGGGTGAACTGGCTGGCCTGGCTCAGTCTGAAGGGTAACTAAACTCACCTTCCACATTCTGACAGAGGCAGAGTGGATGTTTCTCCCTCTTTCCAGTCTTTGTGGTAGGCTAAGCCAACCAGTCTACGCCAACGCAGAGCTTATGCCATACCCTACGCTTTAGTCTGACATGCACCTCCCCAGAAATGTAACTACACATCACAGTGACGCAGACCTCCTGTCTGTTTCTGTAAGCTGAAACCATTTCCCTCAGTGGAAACAAAGCTTTGATTTACTTTAATTTCACAGATAAGAAACAATAAATGGGAAAGACAATAAAGCCTCCACAAAAATAGCATTTTAAGTCTTGTGTGTGATTTATCCTGGCTTCATATGAGCAGAGGAAATCTCTGCTAGCCGCTAGGGTAATTTATACAAAGTAAAATGCCATAGGCTTGTGCTAATAACATTAGCATGTTGTATTTGTTTGGAAAACATGTTTAGTATAAGACAGTTGTTTTGTCAGTGAACCTTGTGAGTTGTAATGGAGCTGAATTTTGTAACGTTACCTTTGTTAAATGTTGTTGTTGTCCCTGGCTTAATATGAGTAGAGGAAAAGTCTGCTAGCTGCTAGGCTAATTTATACAATGTAAAATGCCATAGGCTTGTGCTAATAACGTTAGCATGTTGTATTTGTGGGGAAAATGTGTCCAGATAAAGACAAGTGTTTTTCTGTGAATGCTGCGAGTTATAGTGAAGCTGATTTGTGTACTTGTGTTTGAAACTGTCTCTATTAAGACATGTTTAATGTGTGTTTAATGTATGTTTTGAATCAACTAAACTTTACCTTAAATGCTCACAACAGTGTAGGCCAAGTAAGTAGGGTCTGCCGCAGAAGTATAAATCCCACTTAACCCCCAACACAATGGATGGAAGCAGAATAATTTGTTACATAAATACATGTTGTGAATTTTGGAAAATAATACATCTGTCTTTGTTAAATACACTTTAACTTTTTATTTAACAACACTCTGGAGATACTGAAAATGTTTAGATCACATGAGTCGGACACAGCCACCGCTGGAATCTTGTTCTACAAACAGTGTGACACTAATATTATTAGTGTCATCTAATCTTTATCTGCAACTGTGCAGAAATACTGGGTTAAAACAGGATGAATAGAGATGCAAAGGAGCATTCAAATGTTGATGGAGAATTTGAATGTCAACGTTGTGAATGAAGCTTTGAAGCCTAGAACAGTACAATACAGTCCTGTCTGAGACGCACCTCCCTAGAATAGTGTTGTTTCATAACATTGCCGAGTCATGTCATCCTGACGGGAGTGACCTGTGTTGAGCAAACACAAGATTTTGTGGTGATGCATGTCCGTTGCGTTGGCCCCTGACCTGCCTCTGGCCAAATCATCATTCTACACACAGCTACAGCTGTGATGTGATTGGCCGGTGGAGCACAAAGTTTAAGTTTCGTGCAGAAACCTCGGGTGAAGTTCAGAGGGCAGTCATTTTTAGTTGCATAACATCTTTCACAGACTTAGTTATTTTCTTCTCTCTCCTCCTTTTTGTCCGTCTCTCTTTGCTGCCTGAAGTGCCCAAGGATAAGCATCCATTCATACAGCTATAGCTTACATTAGCCTCTCTGTCCTCATTTGAAGGTACAGAGTGTATTGAGGGAATAGTCCAAAGCAAGTCAAAGGCCAAGCTCTGATGGTTCACTATAGAGTGGCCTACTGTTGCATAACCGCCAGCTCTGACTGTGTCAGTGTGTTGTTTATGTAACCACAACTTAAGTGCAAAGAGAGGAGGGAGAAAGCATTTCCAAAGAAAGAGCAGGGTCGACAGCCTGATATTGAACACAGCTGCGGAATCCAGAAGACTGTTGTTAATATTGCTGAATTCTCTGTTGTTTCTATTCTCTGTTTTTAATTATGCGTTCTTTGGGTTTTACAAATCTAATTAGAAACTTCTCAACACAAACACAAGAACCAGAGAGCGACTCTGAGAATCGTGACATAACCTGCACTGACAGCGTTATTGACACTCGGTTTTACCAACTTCCTTTAGCTGAGTTCCTCCACGGCTGTTCCATTTTAAGACACTGCACTCTGATTTAGCAGAAATAAGTGCATACAGCTTCCAGTTGGGTGAAAACATTTGCCAGCCAGGGATAAGGAGGGCTGTTGAAACTGTAGTCCCCTTTACACTTTATGTTCAAGGTGGGAATTTCATGGCTTCTAGCAGTTAGCAGCTAACTCAAAAAAAGAAGAGTTGAATTTTGTAGCATTACCTTTGTTAAATGTTGCTGTTGTCCCTGGCTTCATATGAAGAAAGGAAAGTTTGCTGACCGCTAGGCTAATTTATACAATGTAAAATGCCATAGGATTGTGCTAAAAACGTTAGCATGTTGTATTTGTGGGGAAAATGTGTCCAGATAAAGACAAGTGTTTGTCTGTGAATGCTGCGAGTTATAGTGAAGCTAGTCTCTATATACAGACTCTACATTCAGTGAATGTAGAGTCTGTAGGCAAATCCCGGAGATCTTGCCTCCGGAAGAAGAGCGGAAGAGCTCTGGTTTCTGGTTGTAGGCTGTTTGTAGTCCACGTGATATTGACCAATCACATTTGAGCCGGCTGCAGTTGTTGCCAGGTTAAATGGTCTGTGCAGTGAACGAGGCGGAACAAAATTGGCGTCACTGCAAACTCTGAATTCATCGCAATGGTTCAGAATATTTACTTATATATAAACGGAAGTCGGAAACGGAAATTTGCCTCCTCCGGCCAAATCAAACCGGAATGCCAAAAAATCGGGGGTCTGCTCCCAGAGGCTGTATCGCCGTCTGCCGGAAGTCAGACGCCGAATACAGCCGATGGGTTCCGAGAATGTAGTGAAGCTGATTTGTGTACCAGCGTCCAGTTGGGTGAAATTGTTCGCCGGGCAGGGGATAAGGAGGGCTGTTGAAACTGTAGTCCCCTTTACACTTTATGCTCAAGGTGGGAATTTCACGGCATTATTGTCCCTCGCTGTTCTTTATAAAAGATATAAGGGACAGCCGGCAGGACGGGACCATGGATGAGACGTTGTGACGATGTGTTATGTGCGCGACCCACCGCTGAGAATTTAAAAAGCAGCTTCTAGCAGTTAGCAGCTAACTCAAAAAACATAAGAAGAGCAGACAAAAATGTTCGCATATTGGGAAAACAAGGAGGTCCAGGAGCTCCTTACCCTCCGAGTAGAGGAGGAGATCCGCCACCTTATAACAGAGATGGTAAATAATTGTTACTGCCACATTAATGCCATTGTTATCTTTTATAAATATGCATACGTAATATGGATAGGATTTCTTCAGTATTCATTTACAAGACCAAATTATCCCCAAATGTCTCTCCCTTGGTCAAAATGAACCTCATAATTCAAATAGTAAATAAAGCAGTTTCATGTTAAATCAGTGTCTCTCCAGCGCTCTTTGGCTGACACAGGACATCGAGGGGGGGTTGTGAGCCGAGCTGCAGCTAACGTTAGCTCAGCTTGTTCCTCTGATAACTTAAGATCCAGGCGTCTGATGACTGAAGTCTTTGATGATACAGTCAATGACACACTTAAAAGATCTAAAGTGATGGTGACATGACTTCAAACAGTAAGAAAGTAGTTGGCTAGAAATGTTCTAATGTCCGGTCACCCGGCCGACAGACGGCACTTGAGGAAATTTCTGAGTAACGGCCTCATCCAGTCGTACAGTAGCTGATCTGTAGAGCCAGTCTTGGCCTGGGCTCAGGCCAGCAGCTGCAGCCTGTGGACAGGGACTGCTGTACTCCAGAGGCTGCATGGTGACAGTGGAGGAACTGTGATTCTGGCAGAGGAGAGATAAGGGCCACTGGACCTCTGAAGTATCTTTTCAGTGGTCCAGATAACCACTCCAAAGGTCAGGGGTGAGACTGCATGAGGCCTGATAAAAAGAAGTTACAGCCACGTAGACACAGAGGATAACACAGACATGATTATACTGTATGCAAGGACATGTAACAAGACAGCAGAGACGTAAGCACCCCTTATTTTAATCGTTAACCATTAGTTACAATCACAGATACACCAATTGTGAAGTTTGGGGCAGATACTGTTGTTTAAAATAACATTTAATTGCCACTATCAATATGTTTTTTGTTGTGGTTGTTTCACAAACAACTCCTCTCTTCTCTTAGAGACTGTCCATAGCTCAGTGTTGTACACGTGTCCTTGCTATAGTCTGTAGGTGAAAGGTCAGTTTCTCCATATAGTAGGTTCACAGTGTCCTGATTTTAACCTTTGCTCAAAGTCATTTGGGAGTTTGTGAACTATACATTTGTGGATAGTTTAGAGTGACAGTTTAGAGTTAGTTTAGGAGTTAATTGCATATTTTTCAAGCCAAGGAAACAAATGGGACCGTTTCCAATACATTAAGACATAAATGTTTTGTATTTGCTCCATCTCTTGTTACTGTATTTCTTATTACTACGTAGCATTAGCAGCTGGCTTTGGAAAAACAACAGCAAAGATTAACCGAGTGGCTAATGTTAAACACAATACGTTAATTGGCAGTTGTCAGATAAGAACTCACTAGACAGCGAAGACGTAGACGTGGATGGACAGAGTCATCCAACCAGGTGACTCTTCTGTTGATCTGAGCAGAAGACTGACAAGATAAAGGGAGGAGGTGTGTGCTTAATGGTAAATAAGGACTGGTGAGACAATATGAATGGGAGGTGCTGTCCTGTTCCTGCTCGACCTGCGCCACAAGGAGAATAAACACCCTATCACTGCCGTACACCATGCAGAGATGGTTGCAGAGCAGCGTTGCCTATGTGCAGTATGGGAGGAGTGACCATGCTGTTGTTTTGTTGAGGTTGAGATATATAAACATACTTCAATAGAATATAGTAACTCTGAATGTCCATCAACCATCCTGGACGTGGAGCATCGTGTTTCAGCCAGCATCTCGTAATGGCCTTTTGACATGCCAGTGTAAGGATTTTTTTGTGGGTCCCTTTAAATTGTGTAACCTAGAATTCCCTCAAGGATCAGAATAACATGACCAAAATATATGGGAGTGTTCGGCATTCACCTGCCTGCAGAGTCTCCAGCAGTGCTGTTCACCTAATTATTTGTATTTCGTGTGTTGTGATAAGAAGTCAGAGCCATCTTTTAAGAGTTGGTTGAGGTTTGCTGCATGCCACAGATGGAGTGCCTCTCATCCCGTGGCAGATTAATATTCAGACCTGCTTCCCATTTCGATTTCTCCCATTACACTTTTATAAACTCCTGTACAGTTTGGAGGCTATTTCGGAGGGGGTGTTATCACATCGATACCCTCTTCTGAAATTCCTATTTTGATTTCTTTATTCTAAAAGTGTCCTAGCTGAGTATATCTTAAGTCCTCATAACTGATTTTAAAGTAATTTAGTTCTTCATTACACTACCTTTGAATGAGCACAGATTCAGTTGTACAAATGTATGAAACAACCTTTAAAAGGCATAGTCTGGATCTTTTGAAGTGGGGTTGTATGAGGTATTTATCCATATTTAGTGTATTTCCTAGGGATGCATGATATTGGATATTTTGCCGATATATAACAGCTCATTTGGCCGATAACTGATACCAACATCGATATATCTACTTATTTCTCTACCTAATTTTAGTGATTACCATGTCTCTTCTGTAGTGGAATTACCATCATATTATGCATGTATGCTCTTATCGTGACGGCCCGCCAGCAGATGGAGACATGAAATATGATACTTTTCAATGTATGTAATATTCATCAATTGTGCAAATTACAAAAAAGCATATTGGTCCATTAATTTTAAAGCTAATTTTGGCTGATACAGGCTTTAAATGTGCCGATGTTATCGTGAATGAATCCGCTTTTACATCTGGAACCTCCCTTGTGACGTCGACGCCAGCAGGATTCGAACCCTGGACCTTCCACGTGGAAAACGAGTGCTCTAACCTAATCTAATTTCCTACAGTAGATGGTGGGCAGCACACTCCCAGTTTGGTGAAGCAGGCAGGAGTACCGCCACAGAAGCTCAGCAATGTACTGCTGTGGACAGGTTCAGTAGCAAAACATATTTCAGCCACTTCAAAAAGGGCCTACCTAAAAAAAAAAATCAATAAAAAAAATCAATATCAGTCTAAGTGGACTCTGCATTGAGAATATTTTCACCACTTCACCTCGTCATCAGACAGCCCTTTCCTTTGGTGCTGCACTTTCTCATCCGTACATATTGTTATTCAAAATCACAGCTGTGCCGTGCACTCTATCACCGCAGGTCAGCTGTTTGGGTCAGAAAGTGCTGTTGCTCCATACGAGTGAAACAAAACTTCACTTTTCTCAAGATCTCAAGGATGGTGCGTGCTGGTGTTTTTCCAGGCTGTTCAAACAAAGAAATGAAAACAGCTGTGGCGAGTAACACTGAATATAGACACCAACACTCTGCCCGCAAGACTGAGACAACTCAGTGCTTGCAGTGAACGTTTTTCTCAAAAAGAATTATGTAAAACCACCACCAAATCAGTGAGAGAGTAACTTGCTGAGGAGCACTGCTGTACCAAACCATCAGGTAAATTAGGCTTAATACATACAAATAAATGAGACTTGCCAGACAATGAGTAAAGTGTGGAGCGCTGGCATCCTCTGATTCAGATCCTGAAGTGTTGTAACCAAGTCCCTCTCATGGCAGCAGGAGCTCTCTGGGTCTGTGAGCATGTGTTTACATATTACACAGTCAGCTTCTGCTCTTTCTCAGCCTCCAGTTTCCACAGAAGTTCCCCATCCTCTGTTTTTTCAGCCCGTTCAGTGTCCCTCTGCAAAAATGTTTCCTTTGAATACTCTGGTTCACAAAGGTATCGGTTTGTCTCCATAGGAATGTCATTTTGTCATCACTGTTATTTTCTCTTCTTGTATTTGTCGTCTCTTTTGTAAACTGCTAAAAGTCAGGCCCAAACATGAAAAACATCACTGCTTTAAGAGCCTTTGTACGAGATATAATAAACCATAATTTCTTCTCTAATATGTATTTTATAGTGCTGTTAGAACACCAACAAAATTACCCAGTTTTTACGGTATAGTAGGAGCGTGTGATGTCATCTCATTAACGATAATGCCGGTATAATTTTTAGTAAGATATGAAAAATTCGTATGATACTTGCGATATTTTGACTTGGTGACATATTGACGTCACACTGTTACCCACGGCAACAGCAAGCATGGCTTACAAAATTATTACAGACTCCTTGGTGGTCCCAAAAAGAGGAGCAGCTTCAGTAATGTAGACTAAACTGTGGCGTCCTGAATGTTTTACTTCTCTTAGCGCTCAGAGGGAACTCATTCAGCGGCTCCTCTGGCAGCAGCACAGCATCTCTCCCTCTCCTCTCTGATTCTGTCACAAACCTTTGGTGATGGAGGTGGCCTGGCCGACCGCACCAAACCCAGGCCTGCGGGAGAAGGGGGCCTGGGAGCCGCCAGCCCTCCCTCTTCATAATAGATGGATTAGCAACCATTTTACTTCTGACAATAAATAGTTTCCATCCTAGACTTGTATGGCTTTTTAAATTGTTTTATTTAAGGTGTAAAAAGAAGAGAGAAAATGATGCGGTGATATCATACCGTCACCGCATCCCCCCCACAATAATACCGTGATATTGATTTTAGGCCATACCGCCCAGCCCTAGTTTCTGCTAACACCTATCAGGTAATGTTATCTAGCTCCCCTCCTGCTGATGTCATCATTAGTGTGTCATTCACTGTGTAGCATTTTCAGGGAAACAGCAGGGTGCATCTTGGCGGTTTGATAGTGAATTTGCTGCGTCCCAAAGGTGTCCAGGGAAGATATCTGTTTGTCAGGACGAGGGGATGCTGTCTCAAGCCCTGCTTTTCAGCCTGCACAAAACTGATATGACGCAACAGAAGAACATTGGCCATGTCATCAGTAAATGTCACCTTACCGCCGTTAGGTTGATGGCAATCAACTATGCTAATATCTGTCATTAGCTCATATTATTCTGCCATCATATTTACTACTTTGTTCTTGTTTGTGTCCGTCCACAGGTTGGTGTCGACTGTGCACGCTCTGATCGTGGGGTTGTTCTGTCTGTACATCCTGTGGTTCGATGATGAGGTCAACGCCAACCCTGTCTGGTAAGAGGAACAGAAAACAAATGCATAAACAAAACATCCAGCAACACTGCAATACAATGAAATGAGACAGGGAAATAATATGTGACATGCAAACAAATAAAACCCTCAGAAACACAAAAGCAGTGATTCTGTATACGTGTTGGAAAGGACAAAAAACCCTGACACATTATGCCTTGTCACTTTGGCAGGCTAAAAAAAAAATGTGTGAATGCTTTAGGCACTTTTAGGAGAAACCTGTCTTCTCACATCTGCCTTTTCAGACCGGCAGCCATGACTAGCTCACAGGGGAAGGGAGGAAACAGATGAAGGGATGAAGATGGGAGGTGGGAGGTAGTGAAGGATCGTCAGGGCTGGTAGTTAATACCTTTGGAGAGATGACGATGGCATTCCCTTCATCGGAATGAAAGAGAGAAGGGGAGAGGACGGATCTAATGTGTCAGCGGCGTCTCGGGGGAGTTGTAGATTCAGTGGATTTAGCCTTTGATTATTGTCTTTACTGTCTTCTCTCTGTCTCTGTCTCCCGCTCTCTCTCAGCTACTGCTGACTGTGTTATTTGCATCAATGAGCCCTGAAAAAAAGAGAAATGGTAATTTCCCTTATTTCTTTCTCCTCTCCAATATCTCAATCAGTCTTTTAAACATTTCTCCTCAGTCTTTATTTCACTCACTTCTCCCCCATATTCTTACAACACTCTTTCCTTCCTTATTTCTCTTTTCCTTTTCCCTCTGTTTCGCTTCCCCTCTGCCTCTCAGACTAGAATCCCTCCAACAAGGCTCCTTTTCATAGCAGACAACAGCAGCCTTCTCGCCCCCCTCTCTGTCTCTTCATGTGGACCCCCCCCACACACACACACACACACACACACCACCAGCCCTCCATGCAGCCTCCCCCTGCCTCTAGCTGTCCGTTGTACCCCACATCTCAGGCTGTCGAATCAATGCAGTACACCTCCCTCGCTTTCATTGTCTCTGCGTCGGCCCCGGCCAGCATCGCTGATGGAGTGAAAAACGGGAGAAAGGAGAAAGCGGGGGGTGGATGGGTGGTTGAGTAGGGGGGGGTGAATCATAGGGGCTCTCTCCCTCCTCCTGATGCTGCAGATCTTCATCTGCTCAGTGTTCAGGTGCTGAGTATCTTACTCCTCCTCCCCAAAGCTCTTTGTCTTAACATGTTAGTTTTAATGCAGTTTATTCTGTCATAGAATTTCCTTCAGCCTGAAGGAGGAAAATCTAATTTATTTATTAGTGGAAATAGTTAAGTGCCCGTTTTAAACATGTCTGTTCAGAACTGGACGATTGCTTGGCCTGTGGTGTTGCTGCTTGCAGCTTTCTCCAGAACCATTCAACACTCAATTTCGAGCATCTTTGGGTCCTGAGCAACACACCTGTTCCCCAAACACCTACCTTTATTATGATATATTGAACTATTTTGCTATTCTTACTCATTGTACCCCGAAATAGTGTGCAAAAGCCATCTCTGTGTTCAACTTCTAACTGTGTGCGTCTGCATTTACCTGACAGAGACATGCTACTGGTTACGTTGCAGAATCAGATTTTACTCACAAAATGTAACAAATCAAATATGCTGCATTATTATTTATTTAATTATCTAGCATTTTAAAGCTCCACCTTCAACAGACGTTAAGTAAATGTATGTGCTGATAATGTGTCTCTTTTACTCTTCACTTTAACTAAAAATTTGAATGCAGGACTTAAACTGTACTTCTACAGTGTGGCGATACTTGACACTTGTATTATTCAGTTTCCCATCTGTAAAGTCGGACACTTTTGGGGGTCTGTGAATGCAGCGCAGGCTGAACTTTTAATAAAAAAGCTCAGGCAGCTCTGCATTTAAATAATCAGCTTTTCCATGTTTATCATGGACTGATACTTATGGACGAAGGGGAAGATATGTCGGCTGTGATTGGTTGTTCCGCATCACATGACATGGGGTGCAGGCTGCTGCTTTCCAAAAGTTCAACGCAGTTTATCTCAGGGCTCAGCCGTCGCACCCTGAAAAATAGGCAGTCAGGAACGTGTGTGCACCTCAGCAGTTTCGCTCTGGCGTTTGAGCACACCTGTCTTTCGTCTACATTGAAAACAATGAATTTAAGCGCACAAAAAAGCAGCATGTGTGCTGCCCCTGAGGATTCTTCCTTGACTTTGAGACACACCAAGAGAGTCCTCGCTTTATTATCGTTAGATTTTGGTGTTCCAGTTTGAGCCTTGCAGTTTGCTATGACTGTAGCTCCTTACTTCCTTCTCTCCAGAATCAGAGCGAGGTTTATTGCCAAGAAGGTTTTATGTATTTGTTGTGTACAATACACACACACGAGGAAATATAAAAATAAAGGCAAACTAGCACAAAAGTCAAGAACATAAGTATAGAAAGGGAATATGAAAATGAAAAAAGATACTATAATAATATGTGCCATGTCACTGTTGTATAATGAGTAAGCTGTACAGTTTTGTGCAGGTCTTTGTTCTAATGTTGAATTTCCTAACTGATCCCCTGCACCCACCAGCACCCCGCCGATCCCCGGCAGTATCCTAATGCTATAAAGCTCATCTTATTGCAAGCAGAGTGGTGCAAGCAATAATTCTCCAGTCAATCTGATTGTATTACAGCATCATTAAGACCCATCACACAGCAGCATTGTTCTCTCTCCGCTGCTCTCAATGCAGCCTGAGTGGCCCGAGCCAGACTGTTAGAAACCTGCATTGTGTTCAGCTGCAGCTCGGGCTCTTTCAGTGTGTCACTCTGGCTGCTGGCAGCGCGGGCCTTGGCTGTTATCATAATCCATTCACTTAACAAGCAGCATGTCTGCCTGCCCCACCTCTGCTGCACTTCTTGATTGGCTTATCTTGGACTTGACCTCACATGTGTGTGCAAGACCATCTGAGTAAAGCCAGGGACCAAATTTCAGGGTCGTGTTGAGTTGAGGTCAACTTGGTTTAGATAAAATATTTAACCTAAAACTTTACAATACATTGCAAGACATTAGACAGGGCAGAGCATTTTTTGTCTTGATAAATGCTGCCTGTAAGTTAGAGGGCGTGCATTTGTGATCTGTGATCATGCCTACATTTTGCTTTGTGTTCTGCTCCATTTATGCACAAGTTTCATTCACAAAAAGATTACATAAAAGCTTCAAGACAGATTTCACACCACATAGCTTTGAGTCCTGCTGTCAGAAATCAGCAGACAGAAAAACAGATTGCACATCTGCACCTCCACACCCCGTAAGTAATGTTTTAATGTAGGTGTGTTTCTCCCTCTGATCAGAAATGTGGGCTTTTCTTTTGGACATGCATCTCTACTGCAGCCTTACTAACTGTTTGTGAGTTGGTTTATGTTCAACGCACAAAGGCTGTGTGTCCCAAAAACCACAATTGAGACATATATTCTGAATGTGCTGTGTACTTGTCCAAAAAATGCTTATGAAATCCAAAATATGTCGACATATCCCACATGTCCGAATCAGAAAATGCTGTAAGGCCTAATTCAGAATATTCTGAACAGAATATGCTGTTTACATGAGCTGAATCAAATTCGAAATATTGTCATATTTGAAATAATAGTGTAATATCTGTGCGCACATTTTGTGTAAACATTGTCACCGTCAGACTTTAGCTCCAAGCTGTAAGAAGTCATCAAAGCTCCAAATCAGCCATCAATGGGTGTGTCTCACAGTCCAAAGATTTAACCACGTCTCTCTCACGGTTGTCAACGTTCGTCGCAGCAGGTGGCTCAAAACCACACACTGTAAAGCAGCCTTAAAGCCATAGCTTAGCTGGGAGGCAGCCGAGGGAACGTAACATCACCGAGATGAATGAGAGAGTAGAATACAGCATGTTACAGGTGATGTAACGCTGAACAACCTGCATTAACACTAATGCCTGCCATACACTGGAAGGCTTTGAAAGACTAAAGTCTGACACCCTCTCACATCATAAAACAGTGCAAGTTTGTAGTCACACAGTGTAAGATTTTGCAAAGACTGGGGGTCCTGCAGGGTCAGTATTAACAAGATTAAAACTAGATTCCTTTTGAGATAATTTCCCATCCTGCTCCTGGTGGAAAATGTTGCACCAAACTCCCATAAAGAACTATGACATTTTAACAATTCCTTACTTGTCCGCAAAAATGCACAACTCTAGAAACACAAGATAAAAGACGTCACATGTCGGCAGTTTTTTAGTCAATTCGGCATCAATATCATCCATAAAGATAAACTGTATTTTTGTACAAACTTTAAATTTGTGCTGGTTGGTTTCTCCTCCTTTTCCATACAAAGGAACCGAGACTTGTTCATGTTCATGTGCCTCCCCAGAGTCCCCTCCATGGCTGCATCCAGAGCCCCTTTTACACTGCCAGATTTTCGGCGAAGCTGCTGATGAATTGTGGGAGGAGCTGTTGATGACACTGCACGTGCGACCCACTGGCAGTGGATAAACAGGAAACAGCTGATAGCAGGATTTAGCGAGCAGCTAGTAGCAAGAGGGAAACACAAACCTGACAGACACTGTAAAGATGAGCAACTGGGGAGACAAGGAATTGCGCGCCCTCCTTGTCCTCGCAAACGAAGAGGCCATTAACAATCAGATGACGGGGACGGTGAAGAACGGGCCGACTTACGAGAGAATCACAGAAGGACTGACCAGCCGCGACTTCCCTCCCACGCCACTGTTTACGTCACATGCTGAGCTACACGTTTTGTTACTTGCTCACGCCCCCATTGCCCTGAAAAAGGCACATTCTGTATAAACAAAAGTAGGTAGGCGGCACTTTGCTGCACTCCCCGATTTTGTTTTTATACTGCCAATGCTGAAAAAAGACTGATTGGGCTTTCCTGCAAATTTGCACAATTCCTATCTAAAAAGGACTCAAATGTCCACCCTCTGGACTTTGGACTGAGCCCTCGGGGACTTCAGTTGTATGTTCTGTGACATGTTCACCGTCTTCACGCAAAGTCTGCGAGGGCAGAGTTCACAAAGCCACTTGACAGTTTCACTCGTTGCATTTTTAACATATTTAAACACGAATTCCTTCAGATTAAGGCATTATAATTCCTAAAGGCCGTAGAATATTATAATTGTCCCCCTGCTGAGAAAAAATGACTCCTGGACCACGTTTTTTTAAACACAAAAAATAGAGTAAATTCAACAACTTTTCCTGAGTCACTGGTGCATGTCACTAAGGATCATGTACAAGTCCTTATTAGTGGTTCTTGCATGAGGACCATTGAGTCAGCACAGTTGTAGCACTTCCTGAGTAAAAGGGCTCCACATATTTCTTCAGGCCAAATTCCAGTCAGTTAGCCATACATAGAGAGAGGAGCATAGGTTTCCTGTACATTAAATTAAGTGCAGCTGGATCTCACTGATGTTATTATCATTAAGCCTTTGGACTGTGTGGTGGCAGCCCTGCAGACTCTCTGACTATCACACTATCTGATAGGTGGGCTGTTATCCAGTCTTGTATTTGCCTGCTGCATCTCTAAGTGCAGCGGTAAAGTGATACGACTGATCAGTTAACAGGAGGAGCTATCTCTTGTGAAACAGACATTAGATTTGGGTTGTTAAACTTGTTTAATTCGATTAATTTGATTGATTTGATCAAGGTTTGTATTAGGACTGCCCAGTAGACCAACAGTCGTCATCAGGGTCCATCAGTGGACTAGTCTTCTGCATGTTTCTGATATGAATGTAATGATTAAATGATATATTTTGGTGGTTTGAGTTGAAGGTGTGAGAAAGAATAGTATCAGTAACATTGTTAACACTGTGCTACATTACAGAGAAATACAAACCGTACTAATGAACCTTCATTAATATAGGCCTATATTTTATCTCCAAGTGCACGTCACACACTGAGCGAGCCGCCTGTTAATGACGCTGTGGGCTAATGGGCATGTAGCTACTTCCATGTTTCAGATGATACGTCATGTTTGTAGTCGACCAATGAAGATGAGTTTACATATCACCTTGGGTTCGTCCTTCACCTTCTCAAAATGATCCCACACTTTGGATTTCCTGCCCGACATGTTATTAACTAGCCTGTGGAATAACCGCAGGTACCAGCCCTGGAAATTAACCTGACTCCTGTCTGACTGCTGAGCATGGACACTTCCTGTGTCTGTCCTTTCAAATTAAATTCACACATGGTCCAGTCTTAAAGCGATAATGCGACTAAGCCACCAATGAAATCTTGCCGACTAATGACCTTTCTGGCAATATAACCTTTATTGATAAAATATTTATTTGTAAAAGGATAGAACTTGACAAGTATGTACTTCTCGCTGCACCTTTCCAGATGTGAAATACTTTCATTCTGTTGCATATTGAGTTTGCTATAAATATATTTGCTTGGTGTTCTTGTTTTCTTTTCTGACTTACTTTTTTTCACATGTTAGAAATAAAATCATAAAAATCTAGAGTCTAGATTAGATGATCAGAGAGGAAGAAAGGAAATGTTTCTTTAAAGGAACACTGCAGAATTGTCAGTTACTGTTTTTAAACTGTAAAGCCAGCCACAGATTCACTCTCGTTTGGCGTTTCACCTCATTACATTTGCATTTTTTCTGTGCCGTGTCTCGTGATGCCTGCTGTTTACAGTCTGGCACCTGGTCGCTACCTTTTTATAAAGTCCCGATATCACCTGAGGGCTGTGGAGGTACACACCCAAAAACGTCCTGAACACAGAAAATACAAGCAGAGGGTGGAGTCTCTGCAGAAAAACACACTGCCACACACTGAGAGTGGGTCACAAGTGAGGGTTGAGTTTATACATTGCTTTGTAGGAAAATCCTGTGTAGTATATCTTTAAATTTATTGATAAAATGTTTTTTTAAATGGTGAAGATTCTTCTCTTGTTTTTTTTTTTTTGTTTTTTTTTTTGTTTTGTTCAAAATAAAATCTAAAAATCAAAAAAACAAATCTAAATCTATTAAACTAACTACTAACTACTTATTAAACTTTTGGTAGCTTATGAGAAAAATAAAATCAATTGCTTCGTTTTTAGTCCACAAAATACGTGTTGCTGCAATAATAATGACTGAAGTGAGATGAAGACACTGAAAACTGTATCCTGTTAGATAAAACAGAGGTTGATGAAGTTTTCCTTTGGGGGACAAAAGTTGGATTTCGGACCGAATGCAATGATTGATTGAGCGTCTTGTCTGTCTTCCCCACGTGGAGGCCTCCGACTGACGTAACTGCTCGCGTAACATCTAGCTAGCTAGTAACAGGGACGCTTGTGGATATAAACTTTTCTCCGTAATAATGGCAGACAAATTCGGACCACGGCTTCCACCTCCAGCTGCTCCAACAGGGAAATCAGTTGGCAAAAGAAAGAATATAGCAGAAAAAGCTAACACTAAGAGAGAACTCGATGCTGCAAGAGCCAAAACTCGGGTCAACATCGGCTCTGCTTTCGAGCGATGGCGAAGACTGATGCAGCTTCATCATGAGAAAAAAAGGGAAGAGATGGTCGCAGAGTTTCTGCTGGACAGGTATTTTAAGTTTGCCTCTAAAGTAACATAGGCTATAACGTTATATATGACAACACAGCACAGTTGCTAATGTTACTCCGCACATGCAAACAGTCAGCATATATTCATACATTCGACTTGTACTCTGCCAAAGTGCTGATAGCAAGACGATACAAAGGCAGACGGTGTGCTGAACAATATCAGGTGAAACTTTGGAGGATAAAATTTGACAGTGGTGTGTTCAGGGTCATCTGATGGGTAATGTGAGCTGTTGTACAGTACAGCAAAGGTGTGTGTGTGTTGGGGGGTTCTGTTACACAGACGTTCATCCAGTCATTTGCTACGCGATACGTCGCTCCTGATACCAGGATCGGATATCTGTTGAAGAAGAGACACCTTCATTGTAGTCTCTAACAGATGTTATTTGCAAGGACACCTAACGGTCACCAGAGCAGACACCGCTGATTACTGTTTGTTCACAAACAAACACCACGAGGTTCAAACCTTGTGTGTGTGTGTGTGTGTGGCTGAACTGTGTGTTTGGTCGACATGCTGAATCGTGGCCAAATCGTTGCAGTGACAGTCAGTCACGTTCCACGTATTTATAATGTGAATATCTGGATGTTAAATGTTCATCTGCAGTTTTCTGTAGTGTCTAAGTAGAATGGGACTGTTTGGTGGAAACGGGGCTTTTAGCACCATTACCGTCTAATGGTGTAACTTCATTACTCACTCAGTGACTCAGGGACTGACTCGTATTTATAGGGCTGGCCCATGCTTTGCTGCGGTCCAGCCAAAAAGAGTCAGTCATAAAGATGCTCTAATATGTTGCTCAAAGAGCTGTTTGTCATGTTCTGGACACACAAACAAGCTCAACTTCTTTCACAGCCTCATAGACATGCTGCTCTTTTTAATCAAGACTCTTTATCACTGTAAGCTCATCAACATCAGACGACTATCAGACAATCAGCCTTGAACGAGCTCTCGACGTGATTCATGCTTAGTGTTTTAGTCTACTTACATAAAGTCGTTTGCAGAATTGCATCAGGTTCTCAGTGCAGAAGTAGATTATCGATCAGAGGAGCACAGTGTGAGTGCTCTTTCAGGAATGGTAAGTAGCTTCCCCTCCCGGCTTGTTTGTCTTGTAGTGTTTCAGCTGTGTAGAAAGTTTACCGTGTGTTCTTTGCTCTTCCACAGGGGTGACCCCAGCCTCGTCAAACTAAACGTAGCCATAACCTGTGGTTACCTCCTTTATGGTGAGCTATTTTTGTCTTTGTATTTTTGACTCCTGCTTGTGTACAGTCAATGAGCGCAGTCAGTCAGTGTGCTGTATATGGTGTAAACACAAAGGAGAGAGACTTTAACCTGAAGTGACCTGATTAGAGTTCGAAACACCAGTGCCAGGCGTGACAGCTATAAATGACATCTGGCAATCTGCACTTTGATGTGATCGAAAATCAAAAACTTATTTTACACAATAGAGGGAACAGTGTGAGTCAGACAGTGCCTCTCATGGACTATTTTGTCGAGCCTGGATACTCCACTCAGACTGTTTTTATAAATTAAAGGTTATGACCTCAGTTTAAAGCTGGAGTGCTGAACTTTTGTCGCCCCCTTCTGGCAGTGAGAGTAATTACACAGACACTTTCACAGAATCACATAACGACAAATGAAGCATTGAGAAAACAAGAATAAAAAGCACAGCCACACAGAAAAGACAGTTACTCGTTCTCGTACTCGTCGTCCTCCACTTATCTGGATCTGGGCAGCAGCCTCAGCAAAGAAGCCCAGACAGTCCTTTCCCCAGCCACTTCCGTCAGCTCTTCCGCGGGAACCCCGAGGCGTTCCCAGGCCAGCCGGGCGATGTAATCCCTCCAGCGTGTACTGGGGCAGCCCCGAGGTCTCATCCCAGTTAGACATGCCCCAAACACCTCCCAAGGGAGGCGTCCGGGAGGCATCCTTACCAGATGCCCGAACCACCTCAACTGGCTCCTCTCGATGTGGAGGAGCAGCGGCTCTACTCCTAGTCCCTCCAGGATGTCTGAGCTCCTCACCCTATCCCTAAGGCTGAGCCCAGCCACCCTGCGGAGGAAACTCATTTCGGCCGCTTGTACTCGCGATCTCATTCTTTCGGTCACTACCCAGAGCTCGTGACCATAGGTGAGGGTTGGAACGTAGATTGACCGGTAAATTGAGAGCTTCGCTTTCTGGCTAAGCTCCCTCTTCACCACAACGGACCAGTTAAGCGCCTGCATCACTGCTGGCGCCGCCCCAATCCGCCTGTCAATCTCCCGCTCCATCCTACCCTCACTCATGAACAAGATCCTGAGATACTTAAACTCTACCAACTGAGGAAGGACCTCCCCCCAGACCTGGAGTGGGCAATCCACCCTTTTCCGGCTGAGGACCATGGCCTCAGACTTGGAGGTGCTGATTCTCATCCCAGCCGCTTCACACTCAGCTGCGAACCGTCCCAGCGAGAGCTAGAGGTCACTGTTCGATGGAGCTAGGAGGACCACGTCATCCACAAAAAGCAGGGACGAGATCCTCCCATCACCGAACCTGAACCCCTCCACCACTCGGCTGCGCCTAGAAATTCTGTCCATAAAAGTTAAGAACAGAACCGGTGACAAAGGGCAGCCCTGGCGGAGTCCAACCCTCACCGGAAACAGGTCCGACTTACTGCCAGCCACACGAACCAGACTCATGCTCCTTCGGTACAGGGACTGGATGGCCCTTAGCAAGGGGCCACCAACCCCATACTCCCCGAGCACCCCCCACAGGATGCCCCTGGGGACACGGTCGTAAGCCTTCTCCAAATCCACAAAACACATGTGGACTGGTTGGGCAAACTCCCATGCCCCCTCCAGCACCCTGGCGAGGGTAAAGAGCTGGTCCACGGTTCCGCGTCCGGGACGAAAACCACATTGCTCCTCCTCAATCTGAGGTTCAACTATCGACCGGACCCTCTTATCCAGCACTCTGGAGTAGACCTTACCGGGTAGGCTGAGGAGTGTGATCCCCCTGTAGTTGGAACACACCTCTGGTCCCCTTTCTTGAAAATGGGGACCACCACCCCGGTCTGCCACTCCAGAGGCACTGCCCCTGATGTCCACGCAATGTTGCAGAGGCGTGTCAGACAATAGAAAAGACAATAACACAAAACAAAAGCCAGTCTTGCAAATTTCCAAGTTTCGTTCTGTCTGTTCGACGTAAAACACATCACTTCCTGTGAACCTGCACAGGAAAGCCGCCACAGACACTAAGAGTGTTTTCATACTTGGTCCTTTTCAGCGCCCTAAAAACGGACTCAGAGTGATGACTTATCATTTTCTGCACATATGTGAACACTACAAGAGAACTCAGACCCCTCTGAAGCGAAACGAACCGAGTCCTCAGTGCGGTTCACTTCACCACGTAGGCCTGTAACGGTTGCAAGGACGCAGGACGAGGAGTAGTTAGGTCCACAGAAGATACCTCACGTCTCCAGATGTGGAATGTAGAATACAAGGCTAAGTTTATTTGAGAGCGAGGAGCTTCATAACCGCACTGCAGTGTCACATCAAAGTAAAAACAAAACAACATCAATATATATATTATATATAGTGTGTACAGAAAGAGAACTGACTCCCTTTTCTGTCGGTCCACTTTTTGGTGCACTTTCAGAGGACTGAGTTTGGTTCGTTATAAAAGGACAAAATGTGAAAACACCAATCAGCATTGTGTGAACTCGTTTGACAAGGGCTTGTCTGTGATGCTCATGTATACATCCCGCACTCCAGCTTAAATTTTATAGCACATTTTAAGCCTCAAATGTTTTCCTCAATGTCAACGACAGATATTTTTTGTCATGTTAAACTTCTCCTGATCACTGGTGCAGGTGCTGTTCCTTAAAGTCACTCCATTAAAGTTACAAACACCAGAGCAATGCTGGTTATTTAAGACTGAATGCATATTCAGCTGCAGAAGAGGCCGTCTGCACTTTGAGGTGTGAAATTTAAGGTGCACTGATAAAAGAGAAACATATGAAGGGAACAATATGAGTGAGAAAGTGGTGTTCATGCCTTGTTTTGTCTTTCCCTGACTCTGACTGCTTTAGAAATGGAAGGTTATGATAAATGTGTCCACACTTTCTGCTCCTGTATAAATGTTCTCTACATTTCAACCTCTTCTTTGCCTTTAAAGGCAGTTGTGTTTATAATCATCCTCCCAGTCAGTGTGCCATCTCTCTGACCAACCTGTCCCCCTGTCCTCTAGACCTTGTGCTGCTAGCATGTAACTGGAGCACTATGGGAGACAGCTTTTTTGTCTGTCACCACTTGGCGGCGCTCTATGCATATGGATATGTGCTGGTGAGTCAACCACTCCTCAAAACCCGAGTGTGTAACAGGGTGTCTGTTAAAGAGTCTGTAATGTCTTAAATTAATTTACATATGAGCAGTTAAAAGTCATAAAGTCGTCTTAAATTAGAATTTATGAGGTCTTAATAGCAACATTTATCTAATTTTATTTATTCATCTTCAAGTTCTTTGTGTTCAAATAAATCAACCAACTTTTCACTGAAATTAATGCTGTCTTTTTCCAAAGTCTGTGATAAATTTGGATGAAATATTATTTTGTAAAGGTCTTAAAAAGCATTAACTTTAAGTGTCCGATATCTGTAGACATCCTGTACAAACTTCAATAGCAATTAGAGACACTATATTATTTATATAATGTATCTGTGTCATTTAGCGTGACTGTGTGTGTGTGTTTGGTCATTGCAGACACGTGGCGTGCTTCCCTACTTTGCCAACTTTCGCCTCATTTCAGAGTTGTCCACACCTTTTGTGAACCAAAGGTGAGTCAGCCTCACTGGAGACGTATTCCTCTGTTGGTCAACATATCCCAGGATTCAAACCACCCTGTGTTTGACGTATTTTCTACTCCAACATTTCTAATTTGGAGGTTGCATTAGACTTTCTCGTTGTCTGTCGTGTTGACGGACAGGGTCGTAAAAATTCTGTCAAGTGTGTAGGATTTTTTGGGCTGTATTAGCTGAAATGTAATATAACTAGTATGTTTTTCTTAGTGTAAACTCACCTGAAATTAAGAATCATGGAGTTTTCGTTACCTAGAATGAGAAGCTTATATCTACATGGGGAGCAGCTTCTTGTTTATGGAGATCGCCATGTTCACCATTAGGGCTGCAACGATTAGTCGACTAATCGATGACTAATCGACTATTAAAATAATCTGTGACTATTTTAGTAGTCGACTAATCGGTTTAAGTCATTTTTCATAGAAAAGTACTATAAAAGTACCCAAAATACTCTTATTGCAGCTTCTTACGTTCAAATATTGGCAGCTTTACACACTCTCCCATGATGGTGAACTAAAACCCTTTGGCGTGAGTACGAAACAAGACATTAGATGACATCATTATGGGGTTTGGCAGAGACATTTTTCTATATTTTAACACTCGTACTCGTACTCGTCGTCCTCCGCTTATCCGGGTCTGGGTCGTGGGGGCAGCAACTTCAGCAAAGAAGCCCAGACAGTACTCTCCCCAGCCACTTCCGTCAGCTCTTCCGAGGGAACCCCGAGGCGTTCCCAGGCCAGCCGGGCGATGTAATCCCTCGTGTCCTGGGGCAGCCCCGAGGTCTCCTCCTGGTTGGACATGCCCGAAACACCTCCCAAGGGAGGCGTCCGGAAGGCACCCTTACCAGATGCCTGAACCACCTCAACTGGCTCCTTTCGATGTGGAGGAGCAGAGGCTCTACTCCGAGCCAAGATCCCGAGATACTTAAACTCTTCCACCTGAGGCAGGACACAATCGTTGGAGTAGTCCGTTTGTTTCAGAGAGGAAGAGATGTTTGCGAACAGTTCAGCTCCCACTAACTGTTTAGATTGATCCATACTGTGTGATACTGTGATCCATGCAGTCAGTTTTTGAACAGGCTGCTCTAAGTCAAGCCAATAAGATCATCAGTGACTCTTCTCATCATAATCAATGAGATTATGACGATTTGCTGACTGATGATATTTTTATTTATTTATCTTTTTGTGTTTCTTAGTGCTACGTTGGGTATAATGTTGATTTGGCTGTGTACTATGCTGCAGTATGGGTGACAATAAAGTTAATCTTGATCTTAAACCCTCCTGAACAATGAACGCTGAAGGAATTCTAAGTTTCTAAGAAGTTTCAGCTGGTTGCAATTTGCAATCCTCACCACTAGATGCCACTAAATCCCCCTAAACCTTACACACTGATCCTTTAAATGTGGATATGGCCTGAACTTTGAACATTCCAGTCAGATGTCAGATTTCTCTGTCGTTGCTCAGAAAATATTTAGTTAATGCGACCTCTGTTCTTCTCCCTCCAGGTGGTTCTTCGAGGCGTTAAAGTACCCCCGCTCACATCGGCTGGTGGTGCTAAACGGCGTCGCCATGGCGGTGGTGTTCTTCCTGGTACGCACCGCCGTCATGCCATCTTACTGGGCCAGTGTATTCGCCACCTTTGGCACTCCAGAATTTGAGCGGCTGGGCTTGGGTGCCCAGGTGGCCTGGATCACCTCCTGCATCGCCCTGGACATCTTGAACCTTATCTGGATGTATAAGATCACCCGTGGCTGCTACAAGGTCCTGACCGGGAGGGGAGGACGAAAGGTCAAGGAGGCAGCAGAGAAGGAGTCTTCCCCAGACGGGAAGCATGTCAACAACCACACAGACTAAAGAGATGTAGAGCAAAGGATAAGTAGACATGGACATGAGCAGGGAGGGAGGCTGGACATCCAGGAACCTCACAGCCTCTCTCGGCTGCTACAGCCTCAGCGTCCCTCCCTCCAATCCCCAATCTCAGCCCTTGATCTCCTTGTAGTTGGCTAGTGGACCGGGCTAGTCCTCAGGTCCTGACCCCAACACGAGACAAAGAGACTGCTCTTTGACTCGCACAAGAACCAGCCTTCGCAGCCTCAGTGTTAGCCTGCTGGGCGATAGCTTTTGGTCGCAGACAACAAGGTAGAGCTCACAAGCACACTTTTAACACCGTCTGTCACTCGCCTCTTTCGCCCCCACCGCCATTCCTGTCCCATCTCCCCTCAGTCTCCTCTCACGCTCAACTTCAGCCAAAGCCCAATCCTCTGAAGTGCCTGTGAAAGACAGGAAAGCAATAATTGTGGAGGAATAAGATCACAAAGTCTAACAGAGCTACACCCCTTCAGAAGACAACCATCTCTCGCTCTCGCTACTGCTCCCGAACGACCGGAGGCTTCTCCTGTCGTTCGCACTCCGTCCACACCCGAAGAGGCGTGGCGCACAGAGCGACGCCCTCCCCCATCAGATCCATACAGTGTTTGTGAATCTATAGGGCTCTTGTCTTAAACTCATCAGACCTCACAAAGAGACAGAAGAAACACCATAATGCCTCTTCTACAGTATCACCTGCTGTGGCCTCCTTGTAACAAGTGGCGCCTGCCTATATCACCAGCCATGCCCCTCCAACCTCCTTACAATTTGGATTATATATTAAGAATCTAAATATGCAAGCAGGAGAGAGAAAGACCCGCTCTCCAACATCCTTAGCTTGTCACGGGACGATTTTGCCTTTTCAGTATTCATGGTGTTGTTTGTATTGTCTTATTTTACACACACTGATGTCCTTCGCAGTCACATGTCTAATTCAGATCTCATCCATTGCAACCCTCTGCCTCACTGGATAAGGCTCCACTATCCAGCTTGAACGTTTGGTTTTGTTCTACCTCTCCCCCTGCTTTACAAAGACTTCAACCCCGCCATCATGAGTTAATCAACACTTTCTTTGTTCCTCTTTCCACTGTAAAGAGTGATTTTAGCCTTTAACGTGTTATCTGTTGTGATATCACTGGTTCAGAGGAACTCCACCACGTCTCCTCCGCTTTTTTTTTCCCAGCCAGTGCAGTGAAACAGAGCGGCATCACTTTTCTCGTCAGTGTATCTTTCTAGAGAAACACCCCCAGAGGCTTTTATACTTCCTCTTATCTCCTTTGTTCTCGGTGACTCTGAGAACCTTGGGACGGGAGTGGAAAAAGTCCACACACACACACACAAACACTTGTGGATGTGTGAACATTTTCCACTCTCCTCCTCAAGTTTGCACAAGCAGAGCGAAGCGTGCAAACTGTACACTGTAATTGGTGCCCTTCTTAAACACTGACATGGTGCTCTTTTGTTTCTGTTGCAGAATGTCAGCAGTAGGAATGCTAGCAATATGACATTTTTCAAAAGTTTCTAATTAATTTGGATGTACCGATCTGTGATAAGAATCTATTGGAATCAGTGTGGCAATCTGCATGTTGTTTGGTTTTCTCTATAAACTGTAAATCATCACTACGGAGCATGGTAAGACAGACATATCTCTGTGATGCCTTAGCGAATAGTCGAGATAGATGAATAACATCTAAATATTAACTGCATTAATCTGTTGCTTAAAGGGGTTTGTCTTCCAAATGATTTTGCCTCTCAGAGCAGACTGACTGCATGAACTTTGATTCCTTTCTCCTCTCCCTGCATGTCTGTACAGTATATACACACACAGTAGCTACCTTCTGCGTACTGTATGGCTAACTCACTAATCATCACCTTCACATTCTCTGTGTGCCACTGGGCATTACTCGGTTTTACAAATTCATTAAGTCTTGTCTTTGTACTCTAATGGCTACATAGCTGAATCATGACAGACAGACAGAGATACAGGAGGATGTTTCAGATTTGTTTTTTGTCACTCTAGAAATTTAGAAAAGACAAGCTGGCGTGTGTACTCCTGTTTCCTTTTCACTTAAAGGAGAACTCCACTGACTCAGCATATCACTCCTATAGAGAGGCGAAGCTCCGCCCCTTCCTGTGTCCCCCATGGGACTTTATTTCAGAAAAAAATAGAGTCGTTTTTCTGTAGGCCGACGTGAGTGTAAACATGGCACTGGTGCCCTCTTCGAAATGTCTGAGATTTTTCATTTGATTTTAGATTATTGCTGAAAATAAGCTTGGCGCAAAACAAAAGTTTATGATACTTAAGCAGGATTTAAACTTGTGCAGCAGAGCCTACAGCGCTGTGAGCATTTATATTTGTGCAGTGTGTCTGTGTCACTCTGCAGTTACACCTACAAAACACACATTAAACACACATTAAACATGGCTTAATAAAGACAATTTCAAACACAAGTACACAAATCAGCTTCACTATAACTCGCAGCATTCACAGACAAACACTTGTCTTTATCTGGACACATTTTCCCCACAAATACAACATGCTAACGTTATTAGCACAAGCCTATGGTATTTTACAGTGTATTAATTAGCCTAGCAGCTAGCAGACTTTTCCTCTGCTCATATGAAGCCAGGGACAACAGCAACATTTAACAAAGGTAACGTTACAAAATTCAGCTCCATTACAACTCACAAGGTTCACTGACAAAACAACTGTCTTACACTAAACACGTTTTCCAAAAAAATACAACATGCTAACGTTATTAGCACAAGCCTATGGCACTTTACATTGTATAAATTAGCTTAGCAGCTAGCAGAGATTTCCTCTGCTTATATGAAGCCAGGATAAATCACACACAAGACTTAAAATGCTATTTTTGTGGAGGCTTTATTGTCTTCACAATTTATTGTTTCTTATCTGTGAAATTAAAGTAAATAAAAGCGTCGACACAGAGCCTACGCCATAGTTACAGTGTCGATTCACCACAGAAGTATAAATTCCGCCTTACATGTTTTGTTTAGCAAGATGAGCACACCATTTTCATGATTATTGAAGCCTAAATGCCATCGCCGGAGGTAAAAAGCTACCATAAGGCTACTAATGAACTACACTACAGTCGCATGACCTAACGTCGCCACCATAACAAGACTGTACAGCCGTGTTCAGCGCAGCTCGGCGTCATGACGTTCTGTTGTCTCATTTAGCCGCTGTAGCAACTACATTTTTCAAGACACATAGAAGCTTCAGCGTTCACAAGTGGGGTATTTCCTGATGAATTTTATGTTGTAGAACAAAACGTGACCTTATTCCAGACATCTGAACAAAAACTCACTGACTTTGAGACGAGGGAACCAGGAGTTGTAAAATGCTAACTCATTTCAGGGTTGTAGGTCTTTCTCTGCATGGTAGTTAATTGCAAGAGACTTTTTTTTTCCCGTTTGACTTGCTTCATGGGTTACACTTGATTTTAAGGAATTCAGTAGGTCCTTTTGCAAATAGGGATGTCAACTCTTATTCATTATTCAGTTCACTGCTGAGAGTATTTTTGATCGGTTAATTTTGCTCCTCCTCAGCTTACTGCGCTGCACACCTCCAGGGTCTGCAGGTAGCTAGCTCAACTGATTCAGGTTTTTTGTAACTGAGATTTTGGACCGTTGCATTGGACAGCGGTCTCCATCACCGTCATGAAAACAGTGTGTTCATCCCTCCAGTGGAGTTCAGAGACTGGTAGAATCAATGCCAAGGTGCGTTGAAGCTGTTCTGGTGGTACGTGGAGGCCCAGCACCTTCTTACGACACTTCATGTTGGTCGGTGGAGTTCCCCTTTAAGTCTTAGCAGTTGGATGGATGATTAGAGTAGTCTGGTGGTGTTTTCACTGTGGATCTCTAAAGCACACTCCCTGTGGAGCAACGACTCAGCGACCTCCCGCATCTCTGTCTGTCACCACCGAGGAGGGGCTACAGTATCTTGTGCCTTTTACACAAATAGTAGTGGGTGTGATGCAGTCAGATTTGGATCAGCATGACTTTCTAATGTAATCCCCAGTGATTATCTCCTCTGTATTCCACATGTATCCTCTCTGTATATATTTTTATAATCTGCCTGCACAATGATTAATCCGGCCAAGTATAATCCAAAGCTGATCCTGTCGGAGGCCTGTTTTGTGTTGTGCTCTCCTGAATGCAGGAGCATGTCTCTATGAATGTTGTGATGGGTGACTTAGTGGCATTAAGATGAGCTCACAGCGTCCAAGGTGATGAGAATGGAAACTATATTTTTTTGACATAAGCTCTTTAAGATGTATAGTTGGCAGGAAGGCTAACATCTCAATTCTCCGGCCTCCTAAACTCAAAGCTGTGAATAGTTGTAGAATAAAACTGTAATATCGTTCCTAATAATCTGACAACACTGTGGGAGATTTCCTGAGACTGGCCGACGCTGCTTTGAGTTTAGACTGAGACTGCGCTCCGCCGCAGCTCTCGTGCACAAAGTCAAAACTACACACGTTAGAATCACAGTGTGTCGGACAAACTGAGAGTTTTTGTATCTGTCAGGGTTTTCTACAGAATATATTTCAAGACCTGATATTTGTGCTGCGTCTCACACCCTGGGGCTGTTTGGAAAATAGACCGGATGGATTGAATTTGATAAGGCTGCTATTGAAAGGCCGTGATCTGTGTTGTATCAGGTGAGAACGACCACATTGCCTTTGTTTCTTTGGGGAGGCCAACATTCATTATGTTATATAATGAATATATTTACATATATATATTAAAAAGGTATACACAAATGTGTATATATCTGTGATCAAATATTGAAATCAGATGCACACTGTACTAATTAAACCTCTGTTTTGGTCGTGTTTGGTGTTAAATTTGATGAGTTCTTCACAGAGCTGCATCACAACCTGGTACTGAGCACTGTACTCTACCGACGATCGTCTCAAGGTTACACGTGGTACTTGGGCAACTACGATTTTGGCCCCATTTCTGTTTTTCTGAAGTATTTGATTTAAAGTTCGATCCTTGTACGATGAAATAAGATGGATTGAATTCAGTTTCATGACGGTGACAACATTTGTGTAATGATTAAGAACGACTGGAAAAATTGCAAACTCATAAATAACTTGACTTTATTTTTCTTTTGAATGATTTGCCAGTTTGGCTTCTGTTCCTTCCCCTTTGTTTTGTCTGTTTTTATTTTTGTCTTTTAATGCAATGCAATTTCTTGTTATGATCTGTTCATGTTTTTCTGGAGATTTTAATGTGAAACAGCCTACACTACACGCAGGCCTTAGGGTCCTCGTCTGAGCATTACCTTGTGACTCGGATTGTCGTCGTCTACAATGACCACTACTAATGATCTTGTAATTGTAGTGCTGAAAGCTGAGACTTACTTGAAAGTGTTGCTCTTCAATAAAGTTGAAGACGAGAGAAAATCATTGTTGGACTTCATTTTTTTACTTGTGTGTTTATCCTCACTGTGCCCACCTCTGTAGCTGCCTGGATACATTGAGTTTCTGGGTTGTACGTCTCATTTTGTGAACATATCTCAGAAACGCATGGATCAAATTTCTTTAAATGTGGCACAAACGTCCAATTGCTTGCAAAGATGAACTGATAAGATTTTGGTGGTCCAAGGTCATGCTGGAACCCAATCACCAGAATAAATGTTGACGTACGTTTTTGCAAACCACTACTTATTATGTAGTTGATACATTTCAACTTTATGTTTCAACACCGCTGTGGTTAAACGTGTGGTTAGGTTTAGGCACAAACACTGCTTGGTTGTGGTTAGGCAAAGGTCATGTTTCGCGGCACCGTCCTGGCAGGAAACACAGCGAGGTCCCAGTAGAAATTAACCACGTATGGTGACGCTATGCTTGTAAAAAAATGCAGCGATGACTGTCACAGAAATAACCACTAATGGTGGCACTATGTTGGCAGGAAATGCAGCAATACCTTGGTTAAAAAACAGCCACATTTGATGGCACTGTCCTCGCAGGAAATGCAGCAACATCTAGGGAAAAAATAACACTTATGGTGACACTATGCCAGCAGGGAATGCAGCAATGTTTAGGGAAAAAACCAACCACTCATGGTGGCACCATCCTGGCAGGAAATGGAGTGAGGTCTCAGGAAAAAAAAAAAAAAAAAAAAGAACCACTTATGTTGGCACTATCCCGGCAGGATACATAGCAATGTCTTGATAAAACACAACCATTTTTCATGGCACTGTCCTGGCAGGAAACACAGTGATGTCTAGGTAAAAAAATAACCACTCATGGTGGCACTATGTAAGCAAAAAATGCAGTGATGTCGCAGTAGAAAACATCCAGTTTTCATGGCACTATCCCCATTGAAATACACAGTGTCAGGACTATTAAAAACACCCACATTTGGTAACGCCTAGGGGTCTTACAAAAAATAACCACGTATGGAGTCACTATGCTATGCAGTGATGTCTTGATAAAACTAACAACCATTTTCCTGGCACTGTCCTGGCAGGAAATGCAGTGATGTCTGGGTAAAAACGCTACTAATGCTAGCACTATGCTATGACTATTCGCCCCCAGTGAAAACACAGCATCAGGTCAATTAAAAACAACCATGTTTGGTGGCTAAGAGGCCGCTGGAAACACAGCAATGTCTCAGTGGAAAAACAACAGCTTTTCGTGGCACTAACACCAGTGAAGACACAGCGACGGGTCGCTAAAAGCCTAAAAAGCTGCTGGAAATGCAGCAGTGACTCCAAAAAACACAGCTGGTTTTGTTGTTTGTTGGTCTCTTGAATAGTGGTCCACAGCTTGACAGGCGTGCGGCCTAGGTGTCGCACCTAGGGTTGCCACCTTGGATTTGTGAAAAAAAGGGACACTCGACCAAATGTTTGAGGCGGAGGGCTCGGCCATTATTACCAGTTCAGACTGACCAATGAACATGAAATTCAGACACAGGAGACCAGATTTGCCATCACTTCATGTCCTTCTATGTGCCTGTATTTTATATTAATTTTTATATCAATGAAAAAAACAAATCTGTGTGACTAAATTCTTACATTTTTACATGTATCTCAGCATAGCAAGTTGGAAGTTAACATATTCTGCCATATATGAAGAGGGGAGACTCTCTGGAATCTGGCAATATAAGAACCATGATGATGGGACATTCTATCACTTAACAGATGTCCAAAACATGTGGTTTGTGCCAGGCGGACATGATTGCCAGTATTTTTTCATTATTGCAAGAAATTCCATTGACTCATTCACAAGTCAAAAATGTGTTTTATCTGAAGGAAACATGCAATATTTACATCTAAGATCATAGAAAAATAGTGACCCAAGTGCAATGATGTCCTCCAAGATAATATTTGCCACTTTGATTGCAATAAAAAAAAAATTGGGCACTGGGGGGGGGGGGAC